CAATGAATAAGTCATTGGTCTTGCAAAATTCTACCATGCAAGTTCCAGCATTATTTCTGTCACCAAGGCCAAATTTTCCAACTACCAGTGATTCTTCATTTCCAACTTTTGCATTTCAGTCACCAGTGATAATTAACACACACTGATTACATGTTCAGTCAATTTCAGACTGCAGAAGAAATAAAAAATTTAATTTTTATGAGGTCCCATTTATTTATTTTGTCTTTTGTTATTTTTGCTTTTGTTATCATATTAGATAATCTATTGTTAAAACATAGGCCTGACAGCCTTGCCCTGCATTTTCTTTTAAAATTTTTATGGTTTTAATATTCATATTTAGATCCTTAATCCTTTTTTATATATATACGGTGTGAGGCATGAACTCTTTCATTTTTCTGCATGTGAAAATCCAATTTCCCCAACATCATTGATTAAAGAGATGCTTCCTTCCCCTATTTAATGAGCTTAGCACTCTTCTCAAAAATCAGATAGCCATAAATATTAAGATTCTTTTCTGGACTGTCTACTCTATTCCATTTGTCCATGTGTTTATTCTTATACCAGCACAAGGCTGTTTTGATTATTCTTGACCTAAAAGAAGCACAGACTTAGAAGGCCAGCAAAGTGATGACATTCTTAGGATGACAACTGAGCAATTATCCCAGTGACAAATCTGTCCAGATTTGAACAGGAACACAAATGGCTCAGAGAGGAAAGCATCCAGGAAAAGAAGAGGAATCTACAGACCAGGTGGCTGAAAAACATCTGAGGACAGTCATTTACAGAGTGCAAAAAAAATAATTCATTTGAGCTTGCTAGGAAAATTCTTCCTTAAATAGCACTAAATATATAATATATATATTATCCTTCTTGGCTTTACAATTTAAAACGTTAATAATGTACATGTTATTTTTTAAAACTTTAGGAATCAAATCGTAACACTTCCCTGCAGTTATGAAGTATGCTACCTATCTACAGAATCTAACTGCTGAGGATTGTAAAGATGGAGCAGAACCCGACAGTTTCATCTGTTATACATAAGGTCTCCATGAGACTTAATGGCAACTAACAACTGTAGAGGGACTTGTAGGGAAGAGTAGTAGTACTACTGTAGTATTAACGTCTTCTTTGAAAAATGATCTGAATTATGAGAGTTGGAGAATCTTTGATTGCTGTTTTGGTTACCTAACACCACTCTAACAGAAAATACCACAAATGTATGGTTTTAGCAAACAGGGATTTATTCTCTTACAGTTTAAAACTCACTGTTGTCAAGTCATTTTGACTCGTAACTACCTCTCCTTGGATTTCCAAGGTGGTATCTCTAGGGAAGTACTTTGCCCAATCTTCCTTCCAAGGAGTGGCTGGGGGGTTTGAACCACCAGCCTTCTGGTTAGCAGTCAAATGCCTTAGGCACTATGCCACTAGTACTCCCTCTTACAGTTTAAGAGGCTAGAAGTCTGAGTTCATAGTGCCAGCTCTAAGGGTTAGGTGAAAGGCCTTCAACCTTGGGCTTCAGCTCTGCCTCTTGCTCCCAGCCCACTGAAGCTGGAGGCTTCTCTTAACTCAGGTAACTGCTGGCTGCTGAGGCTGACAAACCCAAGGTTGACAAGAAAAATGGCACAGTCCCAAGATTAGCAGATAACATGGCAGGCCACTGGTTCAAGTCCAAGAACAATCTCAAGATCCACAGACAACATGGCAAGCTACTGAATGAAGACTTAGCTACACACAAGGTACAAGCATATCAAAAACCTCAAGCCCCTTCTCAGTGCTTCTTCTTATATAATGGAAGCAGAGCACTGGAGCTACTCATCTGCTCCAGTAGATTCCACCATAGAGTTGATTACCAGACTCATCATGGAGAATAACTACATCTAAATGCACAGCCACTCATAACTGGGCCCAGCTTAGTTGACACACAACTTAATTACCACAGTTACTAAGTCAAGAAATGGAGCTTTGATTATGCTGCAGAAATCACAATGGTGAACAGTGGAGGGATGGACACTACTGATCTAACCATATGGTGGGAGGAAGATGGAGGTAAGTGATATGCTGAACATCATCTTCTATCAAAGCAGGGAGTATAAATTGACTTGATTATAGTTGATCATTTAAGAAATAGGGGTATAAAGATATATTTATAGATATGAAAGTAACTACCAGAAAAAACAAAATTAGAAAGAATGAAAGACAATTGCATCTGGGGAGTGAGACAAGAAAATAGTTAATTTGCAATATAATCTCATTATGAGGTATTTATTCCATAGTCTTTAATTTTTTTTCATATCAGGGGTCACTAGGAGTTGGGTCCAACTCAACGGCACATAACAACAATAAACAATACATGCATTACCCTGAGAAAATTGTAATTAAAAGTATATAAGAAACAAAACAGAATGACCTGACAGAAGAAAAATACTTGTGAAATACTTTAACTCTATAACATATAAAGTAGGTAAAAATAATATCCATCAACTAAAGAACAGATAAATAAATTGTGGTATACTCATACAACGAATATTACACATAATAAAAAAGAAAAAGAAAAGAACTACTGATACAACAACATAGATGAGTCTCTTAGACATTATGCTGTGTAAAAGAAACCAGGTAAAAGAATACATAATTCATATCATATAGTGTAATTTATATTAAGTTCAAGAACAGGAAAGAAATAATCATTGTGGTAGTTAAGTTTGTATATCAATTTGGCTGGGCCTGGTTGAGTGGCTGGGCAGCTGGATGTAGTTATTCCCCACGGTGAGACTGGTAATTAACTCCATGGTGGAATGTACTGGAGCAGCTGAATAGCTGCTTTAGGGATGCGGTCTGCTTCCCATAGATAAGAAACAGTTTTGGGAATAATCTCTAGCTTATGGCACACTTGAACCTTGCATGTAGCCATGCCATTGTTCAGCAGCCTGTAATGTTCTGCCACTCTTGGAACTTTCAATGGACTTGAATTAATGGCCTGCTGTGTGGTTTGGTACCATCGGGACTATGCCTTTTTACTTGTCCACCTTGGGCTTGTCAGTCTCAGCAGCCAGCAGCTGTCTGAGTGAAGAAAAGCCTCTTGCTTCAGTGGGCCAGGAGCAGGAGGCAGAGCTGAAGCCCAAGGTTTAGGGGCTTTAACCCAACCCCGAGGGCCTGGCACTTTGAACTTGGATGTAAAGCCTCCAAACTGTAAGAGAATAAACTTCTATTTGTTCAAGCCACCCCATTTGTGATATATCCTTGTCAGAGCGGCACTAGGTAACCAAAACAATCATTGATGAATGAAGTCTAGATAGTGGTTACCTCTGAGGAATGGACTAAATAGGACCAGCATGATAAAATCTTCTAAGTGGATGAAATATTCTGTATCTTGATCTGAGTGGTGATAACACAGGAACACACATATATCAAAATTCATAGAGCTGCACATTTAAGATGAGTACACTGTACTTATTTTGTTGTTAGCTGCTATCCTGTCACCCCAATTCATAATGAACCCATACACAATGAGCAGCAACACATCAGACCCTTGTAATCCAGTGGGTTTTCATTGGCTGATTTTCAGAAGTACATCACCAGGCCTTTCATCATAGCCTGTTGTAGTCTGAAAGCTTCGCTGAAACCTGTTCAGCATCTTGGCTACACACAACTGATTGATGGCTGGTGGCTGTGCGTGAGGCACATTGGCCAGACATCAGACACAGGTCTCCCTCATGGAAGTCAAGAATTCTACCACTAAATCAACAACGCCTCCCTTCTACTCACTTTATTTGTGTATTTTATGCTCAGTAAATAGTGAAATGAAATTAAACGATTCATTTCCAGGCATTCTTCCAGTTTTGGGTAATAAATATTAGCCATGTCCTGCAAAGCAGCTGGTACCTAATCCTCTACCTCTCATAGCAGGGCACTACTTCCCAAGTCCAGCCAGCCATGCTGAGATATGACCCCAGCTGGTGGTCTAGAAGCCATGGGAATAGGTTGTTGTTGTTATGTGCCATCAAGTCGGACCCAACTCATAGCGACCCCTCCTTGGGTTTCTGAGGCAGTATCACTATGGAAGTAGATTCCCCATCTTCCTTCCGAGGAGTGGCTGGTTAGTTTGAACCACCAGCCTTCTGGTTAGCAGTCAAGTGCCTTAGCCACTATGCTACCAGAGCTCCTTGGGGATAGGTTGTTGTTGTTGTTGTTGTTGTTGTTGTTGTTATGTGCCGTTGAGTCGGACCCGACTCATAGCAGGACCCGACTCATAGCGACCCCTCCTTGGGTTTCCAAGGCAGTATCACTTTGGAAGTAGATTGCCCCATCTTCCTTCCGAGGAGTGGCTGGTGGGT